CCGTTATCAAAACCATTACTACTCATTGCAGTCTTCTCTGCCTTACGGCCAAATTGCACCAGCACCACTTTTACATGATTCCTGCACCTCAGCAAGAAAAGAGGAACTCCTCCATCACCATTTCCCTGCCCAGGTTTCTGCCAGGAACGATTCGCCTGTCCCCACAACCTCCGTTTCCACTTCCAGGCATCTCAAGCAATAACCCTCAAACTCTCGCGGCGCCATCCAGGGGGCGGAGCTTCTTCCCGATGCTGCGACATCTTCCGCTAGGGGGCGGTGTCTCGCGCTCTCACGAGCCGCGTCGCACCAGTCTAGGCTGCGGCCCGACCGCGGCGCCCAAAGCAATGGCGGGCGCGACGGGAGCCGCTCCGAGCGGGGCGGACGAGAGCCTTCAGCGGAAGATGTCTCTGCAGAGGTAGGCCCCGGCCTCCTTTCCCTTTCCTCCGACCTCCCCTTTCGCCATAGCCCGGCTGGACGAGTTTGCTTCGCCGGCGGCGGGGCCCGAGCTTTTTCAGGCGTCCCCTTAGGGGCGACCCCGATGGAGAGTAGAGAAACAACCCTTGTGGCTCTTCTTAAGCTTGGGGCCGCTCCATTGTAGCCTCGCTTCGGCTGCCCTGCTGCTACTATAAGCCAGTTGTGGGAAGCGGGAGTTTCGTTTTGCTTTGAATGGTACAATGTAGCTTTAGTGCAGGGGGTCTCCAAACTGGGCAACTTTAAGACTTGTGGACTTCAACTCCCAGAGTTCTTCAGCCAGCAAAGCTGAGGAACTCTGGCTGAGGAACTCTGGGAGTTGAAGTCCACAAGTCTTAAAGTTGCCCAGTTTGGAGAGCCCTGCTTTAGCGGATGGGGAGACAGTAGATCTCGATTTATTTCAAGAAATCAGCTGCTTTTTAAGAATTCTGGCTGCACAGATGTAAGGGCAACAAAATGATTCCTCCCAACTCCAGAATATACAGGCAGTCCTCGACTTACAGCAGTTTTGTTTAGTGACTTCAAAGTAACAGTGGCACTGAAAAAAGTGACTTATGACCATTGCAGCATCCCCATGAAAAAATATATGACCGTTTTTCACACGACCATTAAAAATGGCTTACGGCCGGTTTTCACACTTAATGACCATTACAGCATCCCCATGGTCCATGAGATCTAAATTCAGCTGCTTGGCAACTGGTTCATTTTTTTTATGATAATTGCATGATTCCAGGGTCATGTGATCACCTTTTTTGAGACATTGTGACAAGCAAAGTCAATGGGGGAAGCCAGATTCATTTAACAACCATGTTGCTCACTTAACAGACCACAGTGATTCACTTATCAACTGGGGCAAGGGAGGTTGTAAAATGGGACAACATTCACTTAACAAATGTCTCGCTCAGCAACAGAAACGTTGGGTTTAATTGTGGCCATAAGACAAGGACTACCAGTACTCTATATACTTTATATAAACGGGACAATATTTAAAGCAAATGCCAGTTCAATATAAGAAGCTGAAAGGGAAAAACTGAGAGCAGCTGAACAGTATGAAGTGCAAGAGTTTTTTCTGCCTATATTAAGTGTAGAATTCCTCAATAGACACATTATTAGAGTAAAATAATTGTGCTAGTTGGATTAAACTCTTTGGTTATTCACTTAGAATATTCAAATACAATGATCCTATTTTGGCTTTTTACAAAGCTTTAAAAACTTGGCTATGTAAGGTAGTCCTTGACTTACAACAATTCATTCAGTGAACATTTCGAAGTTCCAACAGAGCTGGAAAAATGTGGTTTATGACCATTTTTCACTCTTAGTCTTTGCAGCATTCCTAGGGTCACATGATCAAAATTCAGATGCTTGGCAACTGACTCATTTATGACAGTTGTGGGTCATGTGATCACCTTTTGTGACCTTCCGACAAGCAAAGTCAGTGGGGAAGCCAGATTCACTTAACAACCATGTCACCAACTTTAACAGCTGCAGTGTTTTGCTCAACAACAATGGCAAGAAAAGTCATAAAATGGGGCAAAACTCATTGAACCAATATCTCACTTAGCAACTGAAATTTTGGGCTCAATGATGGTCTCAAGACAAGGACAGCTGTTTGTATTTATTAATTTTATGGGTGTTTAGGGTTTAAATGTTTGTTCATTGTTTTATAATTTTAGAATTGTAAGCAGTCCAGAGTCACTTGGTGTTAAGCAATGGAAAAAGAATAAGTAAATAAATATATAAAATTTAAGATATTTTTTTTAAATAAAACATTTTCCAATATTCAAATTTGGTATACAAAGATTTAGGTCTGACAACCCTGTGGATTATGTTGATTAGGAGGGATGCTTGACACAGAAGCATAGCACAATTTCACATTATTTGTGTATTAATTTGGACTATTGTACCTTGGAGCTATACTTTTACATCTAACATGGACTTGAACTTCTGCATATCCCGTATGCTCCTAAAATGATATGATCAAACAGAAGGATACTATGTGTGCTCAGTTCAAATACTTCTTGTTAGCTGCTTTGTACATATGACAGGCAAATGTGGTTTCTTTATCATATTCATTTTGGAGTATACTGTACATTGAATATGCTCATGTAAGCAATATCGCAGTTGTCTGCAGTATAAATTTTAGAAATGCTGTTTTGGAAAAAAAATCAGCCAATCCATTTTGGAAACCATTGAATAAAAATTAAAATTACATTTCACTTTGTAGCTCAGAGCTGGGCAGTCTGTGTAAGACTTTGAGTTCCCCCTGACCACAGTATTGGAACCCCAGTATTCATGGTGAAAATTCCAATGCAGTTACACTCTGTAAGTATAGATACATAAATAAAATAAAATAAATGTTAGATTTAAATTACATTTAAAAAGCAAAAACATCAGTCATATTGTTTTTACAAAATTCTTCTGCTTACTATGCATTATTTCCCATTAAGGCATCTTTGCTCTATTGAAGCTCTTATGCTTTTCACAAATATTTCTCATCATTATTTTAGGCATTTATCTTAACATACAAGTGAGAATTGCAAGCACAACTAGCAATCCATTTATAGATATGACAGTGACAATCCTGAAGATATCCTGTTCTCCCTGTTTCTATAAATGGATTCTCAAAATTTACTGTGTTAAATTATGTTTGGGTCAGTTTGACCTAGGTTCAAAGCACAATTCAGAAAATTCTAAGTCAGCAACCTGTCACTTGGCCTTTCTGAAAGGTAAAAGTTCACAGCAATTAAAATTAAAAATTGAGTTAGTTCCATGTAAACAAGGTCATCATGCTCTGATTTTACAGATAAAGCAATGTATAGCAATGTATAGAAGAAAGGGTATGTCTTGTGATCAGACTTATTTTGCTCCAAAAGATTTGTTTGACCACTTATACATTTAGACTTTCAAAAAGCATTTTTAATTGAATGGAACTCTTGTGAAATTACTTATTAAGCAAAAAATAGCCATCATATGTCAGAGAGCTGGAAGATGACATATATACTGTATAACAAGGAAGGGAAAGGCTACCATATCTGGGCTGCAAAAGCTGGAAAAGTTAGATGGCCCCAAGAAATTAAGACTGTTCTGTGTACCTCTCTGTACCGATCTAGAAATTGTCCTGCTTTTTTAAAATAGCCAAATACTGTATAAAACAGGAAGACACAAAACCATGTGAGTTTGGTGATTTAAAAAAATACAGATTTTTAGAATACTTGCATCTCAATGCCTAGGCCAGTGGTGGCTAACCTTTTTGGGCTCCTGTGCCAAAAATTGCATGCGCATTAGTGCGCGCATACTCGCGTGCCAGCATCCAGAATGCAGTGCTCCCCCCCGCATGTGCGCGCAATCCCCCCCGCCACCCCCTTACCTGCACTACACCTCATGGCTGATTTTTCTGCTGGTTTGAGGCCTTTTTCGGACTCCCATATTTTCAGCTGAATAATATGCCTGTTCTGTCACTTCCGGTATTACAGGAAATGACGAAATAGGCCTATTCCGGCCTGAAAAGCCTTGCAGAGGTTTTTTCCAAACCTCTGGGAGGCTGAAAAAGGCCTCAAATCAGCAGAAAAATCCGCTGTGAGGCATGCGCATGTGCAGTGAGGTAAGTTTGCCTGCAGCTCGCATGCCAGTACAAATGTCTCTGCGTGCCGCTTGTAGCACACATGCCATAGGTTCGCCATCACGGGCGTAGGCTCACATATTGTGACAGTTTGACTTCATATGGAGCAGAAACCCACCATTAGGATTTCATTTTTTATTTAATATAGGTGTGCCATCAATTATAATACCTAGCCAGGAGCTGATTGTAGAGCAGATCACAAACTGCTGATGTTCAGGTTGTGTATATCTGATTTAGCATGATGTGCCAATTGGAGCTTTGATGCATCATTCTAGCTGATGGGGCACCAGTCCAAGCTCCCAATTATATTTGATGCTAAACAAACAGTGGAAAAGAATTTCTATTGTTTAGTTGCTTCTACTGGCAAGAAATGACAAAGCAGCTTTTACCAGGATGCTGCTGACAAATGATAAGACAGGTTTCTGAGAGCGGCCATTAACAGGATGTGGAACCTTGTGTTGATTCTCATTGGAAGCTTCAAGGGCCTCAGATTATCAGTAACTGTATTTTAACACCTTTTGCAGGAAATGCAGTGGAATGCTGTCATAGCAAAGACATCCTGAGAGGGTTTATTAATTTGTAATAAATCAGTTTGGGGGAGATAGCCAAGGCTGCTAATGGAAGTTTGCACTTCAACAGGAGTGAAAAATTCTGATAACTTTTCTTCACCAATTTGTTTTTTCCAATGTTCCCCTGTGTAGAGACTTTTCTCTCTGCGGTTCACCTGTAAGTGTAGCATCTCAAATTTCATTTTTTAGATGTGAACTCTGTAATACTGAAGCAGCAAAATACAGATGCCCTCGATGTATGAAATATTCATGCAGGTAGGTATAAACCAAATACTTTTTTTTTTTCATCTTAGATGCTGAAAATGAAATAACAGTGTTTCTTTGCTTTTGCTTTCAGCTTGGCTTGTGTAAAAAAACATAAAGCTTTATACAGCTGTAATGGAATCAGAGAAAAGGCGGCCTTTGTTTCAGTGAATGAGTTCAGCAACTTAACTCTTCTAAGTGGTAAGAGTATTAGTCCAGTAAAATTACTCAAGGTACTGTAGGGCTTGGTATACTAGTGTAGTGCTATGTAGTTTTTTTAAAAAAATTATCAGAATTATAAAATTGTATTTTTTTTTAAATAAACTCTTGCTATTGTGCCAATATTAAGCTCCTTTTTACTGTACTAGCAGTGTAGTTTGTCCTGGTATCCCAAAACAAACACAATAGAGTATGTTGGATATAACACAAAGATAGGTTGAGAATGTTTTAGACTGAAAATGAGGCAATGTAAGTACACTGCTCAAAAAAATAAAGGGAACACTTAAACAACACAATGTAATTCCAAGTCAATCACACTTCTGTGAAATCAAACTGTCCACTTAGGTAGCAACACTGATTGACAATCAATTTCACATGCTGTTGTGCAAATGGAATAGACAACAGGTGGAAAGCATAGGCAGTTAGCAAGACATCCCCAATAAAGGAGTGGTTCTGCAGGTGGTGACCACAGACCACTTCTCAGTTCCTATGCTTTCTGGCTGATGGTTTGGTCACTTTGAATGCTGGTGGTGCTTTCACTCTAGTGGTAGCATGAGACAGAGTCTACAACCCACACACGTGGCTCAAGTAGTGCAGCTTATCCAGGATGGCACATCAATGCGAGCTGTGGTAAGAAGGTTTGCTGTGTCTGTCAGCGTAGTATCCAGAGCATGGAGGCGCTACCAGGAGACAGGCCAGTACATCAGGAGACATGGAGGAGGCCGTAGGAGGGCAACAACCCAGCATCAGAATCGCTACCTCCGCCTCTGTGCAAGGAGGGACAGGAGGAGCACTGCCAGAGCCCTGCAAAATGACCTCCAGCGGGCGACAAATGTGCATGTGGCTGCTCAAACGGTCAGAAACAGACTCCATGAGGGTGGTATGAGGGCCCAACGTCCACAGGTGGGGGTTGTACTTACAGCCCAACACCGTGCAGGACGTTTGGCATTTGCCAGAGAACACCAAGATTGACAAATTCGCCACTGGCACCCTGTGCTCTTCACAGATGAAAGCAGGTTCACACTGAGCACATGTGACAGACGTGACAGGGTCTGGAGACGCCGTGGAGAACGTTCTGCTGCCTGCAACATCCTCCAGCATGATTGGTTTGGCAGTGGGTCAGTAATGGTGTGGGGTGGCATTTCTTTAGGGGGCCGCACAGCCCTCCCTGTGCTCGCCAGAGGTAGCCTGACTGCCATTAGGTACTGAGCTGAGTTCCTCAGACCCCTTGTGAGACCATATGCTGGTGCGGTTGGGTTCCTCCTAATGCAAGACAATGCTAGACCTCATGTGGCTGGAGTGTGTCAGCAGTTCCTGCAAGATGAAGGCATTGATGCTATGGACTGGCCCACCCGTTCCCCAGACCTGAATCCAATTGAGCACATCTGGGACATCATGTCTCGCTCCATCCACCAATGCCACGTTGCACCACAGACTGTCCAGGAGTTGGGGAATGCTTTAGTCCAGGTGTGGGAGGAGATCCCTCAGGAGACCATCCGCCACCTCATCAGGAGCATGCCCAGGCATTGTAGGGAGGTCATACAGGCACACAGAGGCCACACCCACTACTGAGCCTCATTTTGACTTGTTTTAAGGACATTACATCAAAGTTGGATCAGCCTGTAGTGTTTTTTTCCACTTTAATTTTGAGTGTAACTCCAAATCCATACCTCCATGGGTTGCTAAATTTGATTTCCATTGATAATTTTTGTGTGATTTTGTTGTCAGCACATTCAACTATGTAATGAAGAAAGTATTTAATAATATTTCATTCATTCAGATCTAGGCTGTCTTATTTTTGTATTCCCTTTATTTTTTTGAGCAGTGTATATTTCTTAACTGAAAAAGAATCGTAGCTCATATAGAGATACTTAAAATTTAATCAAATGCATAGCATATTTCAATCACAGTTGAAAATAGGGATGAAGTGTATTTGAATATTAGTAGCTCAGGTTGGTAGTTAGGCTTTGGTTTGAGTACCGAGTTTGGTAATTTGGTTGCAAACATTTCGTCACCATTCGAGGAGACATCATCAGTGTGTTTTGAGTTGATGCTCGTGATGCTATTTCTCATAAACCCAAAAGCAATCTATTTGTAAGTTTTCAGCAAAACCTTTGTAAAATGCAGTCACGTGACTGCAACACACTGCAAACAACCATAATGCAGCTGTATTGCCGACTCAAACTCAAAACATGATGTCTCCTCAAATGGCGATGAAACATTTGCAAACAAATTGCCAAACTCAGAGCTCAAACCAACAGCCTAAAAACAGGCATGCTCAGACTCCAAAACTTGAAAAAATACTTGAAAACAGGTATGGAATGGGTACATACACTGCACTTCAGCAATAATAATAGTAAAAATTAGTTACAGTCAATGACTAGTCAGATCCAGCATGCACTTAATACCACCAAAACAGCATAGAGAATTTAAAAACTCAGAATAAAATCTCACTTTCTCTTTAAAGAAATTTGTCTTTTCCTGGGGTCATGTGGTAGGTTTGTGATTGATTAAAAGTATTGCAAAATCTTAACCTCTATACACTGAACATTTTAATCCTATATATACTGAACATTTTAATGCTAAATACATTATTTATATGTAGTTCTTTATATTTTTACATATCAACATCACTTATATTTCAGTAAAATGTCTCCTTGCCTTTTCCTTGATTTTCTTCTTCAGACTATCGGTTTCTAGAAGACGGGGGAAGAATGACTGACTGTGCTGCTCGAGATACTATTTCTCATAAACCAAAAAGTAATAGATTTGTAAGTTTTCAGCAAAACCTTTGTAAAACACAGCCACATGACTGCAGGACACTGCAAACAACCATAATGCAGCTGTTTTGCCAAGAACCCTAAGAATGGACACATGACTATGAAGGGGGCCTGGCCATTGGAACTTCGAATCCAGATCATAAGTCCTAAGTCCCTTTAATTTAAGTTAAGTTGATTGTAACTTTGAACAGCTGCTAAGCAGCCAGTCATAAGTGAAGAACTGCATATATCCCTGCATGGAAGCCCTTGCTCTTATCTTTGTTAAATTTGAAGGAAATAGAAAAGAACAAAGAGAAATTGCAGAGATAGAATGTCCTTGGAGGAGCTAATGTACCGAAGACACTTCAAAATGAAGAGTATTTCTCCATGTTGCAATGATAAAATTCTAGAGCTATAAATAAACCCATATTCTGCATAAAACAAATGATACACAAGAATTTTGCCAGAAACATTGTCCCACGGAAGAACCTTCCATTTTATTGTTTGAAAGATGGTTTTTTTCCACTTTGATAATTTCTGCTGGGAGAAACAGGAAGTGTGTCTGCAGAATGATTAGGTTGAGGGAATGTGGAAAGGAAAATGGTTAAGCTGTTTGGTTTCATTTGGAAGCATCTATTTGGGAGCAATGCCTGATGCTTGGAAGGCACAAGTAAAAACTTAACGTAGTTCTGCTGAATAAACAGCTTAAGGGAATGACGGCTGGCAAAGTAGAAGTTTCTCATTTAGAATTGCAGAAATAACTGCAATTATAGCAATATAGCAATAGGTTTTCAAGAGTCTGTTTTCGATCTGTATAGGATACTTGGTATGCTTTGCCTTATGCACCCAGATAGGTAATACATATCCTGGATATGTTTCCAATCTTGTTAGCTTTTAGTGATTAAGGCCTACATATTCTTCAATGCAAAGAGCCACATATAGAAACGATTTCATTGTTTCATCTATTCTGTAAAACAGAATACATTTGCTTTCAACATAACATACAATTATAGTTTACTGTTAGAAAAATAAGCTTGTAAGAACAAATATTGCACTCCTATGTTTTGTAGTTGGGCCATGAGAAGGTTGGAAGTTTCTGGTTTAGTGACTAAAATTTAAACTTGATCGTCACCTTGATTTATTAAAACAAGTTTTAGGCATGATGACAAACTAAATGAATGCAAAAGATTCCACGATTCTTAAAAAAAAATGTGGGTATTGAGCATGTGAAGCCTAGTAGTGCTAAACCACAGTTTCTCAAAATAATTATTTAAAGTAGTTCATATCTGAAAGTAATTCTTATGCTTGTCATTTTAAAACTTGCATCTTCATCAGGTAAACTTTCTGAGAAACCGAGCTCGGAGGTGCAAGATCTGCTTACAAACTTTACCAATTGGCTTCACAAAGAGACGAGAGAATTCTACATTCTACAGCAATAAGTAAGTTTCTAGCTGTTATTAGCTTGGATGTTAGCTCAACAAAAGCCCTCATTCTAAATATGGCTTTCATATGTAAGTGTCTTAAGGTGAGCAAGTGATGAAATTCATTGCAATGTCAGATATATTCTGCCACTTATCTACTTGGTGCACATCATCACAACACAAGTCTGAAAGGGTTTCTTGATTCATCCTAATAAGCCATTATCCGGCTATAACATCTGAATTATTTTCCCCATTGACCCACAGGGGTTCTGGTTGCTTTTCATCATTCTGAATAAAGTTGCCCTTTGACTGATTTATATTTATGTTTGCTCAGTATGTACTGTCTATGTATGCATTTAATCTTGTAATCGTTATATCAAGATATTAACAGTAGACTGATACAAGCTTTCTAGCTTTATTGCAGAGAATGATAGAAAAGAAATACAATTTTTCAGCCAACAGGAAGATGCTAATACATTTCATTGTTTTCAAGGAGTATAATTGTGAATTAAAAAGGAAGGGGAGCTTTTATGTAACAACAGAGACATCTATTTGTTTTATCTATAACTCCTGTCTACATAGTTATACACAAATGTTATAATCTGTCACCATAGCACAGTCTGTTTTAATAACTATTCTTTCAGTGGATGAAATAGACATTTGTGTCATGCTCCTGTCAGAATCTGAATCTGAGGAGGAAACCAGACAGCTGACAGGGAATGGGAGTGTGGCTCTGTTGGCTATGGAGAAGGCTGGGGAAGGGCAAAGTCCAGCTGGGCAGAGCAGGGTAGAGGTAGAACAAGGGAGAGGGAGTTCAGAGGAAGAACCAGGCCCACCTCCTCTTCATCCTAGGGCAATGGTGGCTAACCTTTTTGGGCTCCTGTACCGATAATTGCACGTGTGCTCGCGCTCGTGTGCCATCACCCAGAAGGTAATGCGCTTGGCCCCCCCATGTCCCCTGCACTTGCGTGTGCAACCTGTGCTGCGCGCTATTGCATATATGCACATGACCCGTCTACGCCGCACACTTCTGCGCATATGCGTGTGTCTCCCACGCGCCGCCACGCATGCGCGCCAGCTCCCTGACAATCAGCTGGCAGGCGGTGCGTGCGCAAGCGCAGTAGACCTTTTCTGGGTGAGGGATCGCATGCCGGCAGTAATGGCTCTGTGTGCCACTTCCGGCACGCATGCCAAAGATTCACCACTATGGTCCTAGGGCATGCAGGGAGGAACAGAGAAGAGAGCAACATGTGTTGCGTGGCTTACAGGGGAGGAAATGACCCTGATTCCCTTCATTAGCCACAGCTGGGAAGACAGTTGATAAGAAAGACAGGCTGCGTGCGGCAGGCTGCTGGGAGCAAACGTGACTTTATGTGTTGTCGTGGCTTATCTGTGTTCCTGGCATCTTCCCAAGTGTGTTGAGTTTTGCGGTGCTTTCAAGTCTGAAATTCTTGTTCCTGCCCTGCCAAACTAATTACTTCAGTTTGGCTTGTTTGGACTTTAAGTTACAGTTTGTTTTGCTCATGTTTTGGACTTAATTTTCTGTAGTTAAAGGCTGTTCCTGGGAGTGTTTTTCTCCAGCCAGAAAGTAACCTGGACATTGGGGGCAAAGTTGGAGATAATAAAGCAACTCTTATTGCTTATCTGACTGTGTTGCCTTTGTGCCACTTCCCGGGTCATCACACATTGATACACAAAAGCTTATGCACAAGGCTCTTTGTTTCCTGCAAAGACTAAATTGGCTATAATTCTGAAAACCAATAGATGGCTCTCTTGCAAATATTTCGTGTTACTATAAGGCATTTGCAAGAAGAAATTAGTGTACTTCTATGTTCTCAGTAGAAATCTATCTAAATACGCTTCTGTGGAATACTTCTTAAATATACAGCAACAAGTTTCTGAGTCCTCAGTTATGTGTCACTTGTAAATGTTGCCATTCTTTTTTTTTAAACAGAATTAAGGTTTGAGTTTATGTTTTGAATATTATTGTAGCTTCCCATTCCTATGGTTTCATTGTTGTCTTAATGAATCATGATAGTACTTTTTGCAACCTCATAGAGTTCCTAAAAATACACAATCAGATTGGCTGAAAGAAAGATGCTTGGCATGTAAACGGTTTGTGTTCAAGTGAACTTATGATTCGTGATTACATCAACTGATCAGTAGTTAAAAAGAATAACCCCATTCACAATTACTTTGACTTAACTGTTTCTTAAGCTGCTGACCATGTAAATCCAAAAATTGACATAAATAATTTCTGGTTAAAGTTTCCACATCTTTTCATCTCTTTTTCTTTTGCCTAAAGAATCTTGTAATTGTTCTTACTTTAAAAACAGCTAAATATGTTCCATACTCCAGTGAATTGTAACAGCCTAATTAAATTTCCTGGGTAAATACTCATTTAGTTCTCTTTTTCATCATGCTGAATTTCTTCTAAGAAAAAGGGAGACTGTGGCACTGGGCAAAAAAACAAACTTGAGTGAAACACACATTCCAAAGGAAACTTCATAAATGGTAAAGCTCTCAAGCAAAACCTTTCTCCTTCAAGTCACTGCATCCTCTGGAAGGCTTGGTGCAGTTTCCTTGTGTTTCTGTGTGTTGATCCGCCCATGATTCACTAATGACCCATACAACCCTAGAAAGAAAGAGCTACAGGAAATCAACATTCACTTTCGAAAGATTCTATAAACCGGAATTTATATTATCAGGTGTAGGCCTTGTAAAGCCTTTCACACATTACCAGTCCCCGACTCATGACTGGAGGCAGTAAACATCCGTAGAGCTGCAACCCTCTCATCCCTGATTTAATGTTTACTTTATAAATCTCCTGAAAGTGAAAAATAGGTTTCTAGAAAATAGGTTTCTATGTTTGTTCGTTTTCTATGTTGTCTCCATATTTGGAGAAGGGCTTTAATGCTTTTATTCCCACTCTTATTGCTGAAATTCAGTTCTTTTGTGGCTCTAAATGTTGCTGGCAAAATTGCATAATGCTAAGAATTTCTGGAGACAGTTTTCCTGTGTGTTAATAGAATGAAAGCATCAAGTGAAAACATCCAAATGTAAGAAGCAACCAACAAAGAAGAATTGCAGGATGATGTGTTTTCAAATGGATACAATAGAGAAATTGTATCCTAGAACACAGGGTCCCAGCGCAAATTTTGCTTCTCTTACGTACCAAAGGAGGTGAAGTATAAATTGTGCCATTTTTGAGTAAGGAGAAATAGCACTGTACTGATCAATTAGGATTTGCAAAAGGCTTCTAAATTTGTTAGTGGAACAGAAATTGAAAAGATAATCCTATGTTACTGCTATTAATATGATAGAAAGAGATTGGGTAGAGCAAAATTTCCTCAAAACAGTTAAGGGGCAAATAGGCAACCCTGAAGGTAATCTGTACCGTAGAGTCAGAGGTGTTTTTAAATTTATGTAAATAAATACATAGTCCCACTATTTACTGATGTTTAAAAGAACAATGTGCAAGACTAACTAACATCCAGTAGTATGTTAGTATTAGACCTGTACAGTAGTAGACCTGTATTTGCATTCTGCCTAGATGTTCATGGAAG